GGCCCGGCTGGCGCAGCCGCGGGAGAGCGCCACTCGGACGGAAGGAGGCGGGGGCAGCCGGACGGTCCACGACCCTCGGGCGCGCCCCTTTAACCCTTCCCAACCCGCCCGCGCCGGGGACGCCCCCGCCTTCGTCCCGCCCCCGGATTGGCCAGCGCCGACTCGACACGCCCCCTCGGTTCGACATGCCCCCGTTGGCCCGCCCTCCGAAACCACTCTTAAAGGGACCGCGCCTAACTCACCAATCCCCAGTGTCCTATCCCAGCAAAGAGGCCTAGGGCCCGGAGACCGAACGCGCTGCAAGGGGTAAGGACAGGCGGCGGACTTGCCTGGAAAAAGGATCTGGGGTCGTGGGCGGGACCAGTCGCTGCAGCCCTAGGCCTGAGTCGGAGCTCCTCCCTGGCTAGCGTTGCCAGATTTAGCAAATTTAGCTCCTAGCTAAATCTGAAAAACAACTCTGCTGAAAATTTGTAATTTATTGAAAAAAAAAAACACTATACAGCACATTTAAGGCGTTTTGACAAAGTCAGTAGAGGAATGTATTATATGCACAGGATGCCTGGCAACCCTTCCCCTTGTCCCAGTGAAGAGGGAAAGTCCTGGAGTTGGGAAGGCGTGGGTTCAGGTCCCACTGAGCCATTTGATTGCTGTGGGCCTTTGAGAAGTCACTTCATTTCTCTAGGTCTCTGTGTCCTCACCTGTAAAATAAAGACAGTCATCGAATATGAAGTTCATGGCACACAGTAGGTGCTTTCAGCAAACAGGAACTGCTGTTCTTTTTATTCCACCCAAAAGAACACAGTTCTACCTCGTGGACCTTTGTTTTATTTCCTGCTTTTGCTGCCACCATCCAGGACTCAGTCTGAGGACAAGAGAGGAACAGGACAGACCATGATCATGTATTCATCCTACAGCCTCTTACTAAGCACCTACTGTGTGCCAGGCACTCTTCCTTAATCAGTCAACAACTGAGTTCTGGAAATGATTTGTGCTAGGAAGACAATCAGCCATGGCAGTGAAATAGAAAGAATGGGAGTGAGATTTTAGACAAGGTGGTCAGAGAAAGTCTCTCTGAGGAGCAGAGACCTGAATAAAGTGAGGGAGAGAGCCATGTAGATGTCCAGGAGATTGTCCCAGGCAGAGGAAACAGCATGTGCAAAGGCCCTGAGATGGGACCATCCCAAGCATGTTTAAAGAACAGGAAGCAGGCCCAATGGAGCTGCAGCCAAGCGGGCACGTGAAATAATAATAGGAAATGAGGTCAGAGAGTATTGGTAAAGCCAGGCTGCTTAGAGCCTAATGGATCATAAGAAAGATTTTACTTTTACTCTGAGAAGAATGGGGAGCCATGAGAGGGTTTTGAGAACAGGAGAGGAACATGGTCTATCTTAGGTTCAACATGGTCCCTAGCTGCCATGAGAAGGATGGACTATACAGAGAAGGGTAGTGGCGAGAGACCAGGGAGGATGCTATTATAGTAGTCTGAGCAAGTGATGGTGGTCACTTAGAGCAAAGCAGAAGCACTGGGGGTGGAGAGGAGTGGTTAAATTCTAGAGCTTACCTGATAGGGAAGCCAGCACAGAGGAAAGTAGGACCAAGACCCACAACATGGAGAGAGACAGATACCTAAAGGTATCTGATAGTGGCTGAGCCCCTGAATCCACCTATACCTGATGCTGCTGTAATTCTTTAGCCAAGAAAGGCTAGCTGGCATTTCCGCAAATGTAGACACTCGCCAGATAAGGAAAATGCCAGGGACAAAGGCTTCTGGATCTTGATGTGGGGAAATTCTCCCAGAAATCTGTGAATCTGGTTCTCAGAGCCCCTCATGCAGCAGTTGGGGTTTGGCATGGGTGAAAGAGACAGAAAGCAGAAAGCAACCACCTGGCATCCTTTTTTTTAAAATTCCTTATTATTTATTTTAATTTTAATTGAGGTCAAATTCACGTAACAAAAAATTAATCATTTTATTTATATAAAAAAATGTTTATTTTTTGATTAATCTCTACAGCCAACATAGGGCTTGAGCTTACAACCTGGAGATCCAGAGTTGCATGCTCCACCAACTGAGCCAGCCAGCCAGGAGCCCCCCAAATTAACCATTTTATTTATTTTTTTTTAAAGATTTTATTTATTTATTTGAGAGAGAGAATGAGAGAGAGAGAGCAGGAGAGGGGGGAGGGTCAGAGGGAGAAGCAGACTCCC